TTTCAGGCTACTTAGTAGTAAATGGATATTTGCTCTATCTGCATGAGATATGTCAATTCACCGGAAGCAGATATTGATCGTTCTGTCTCGCACAAGAACTCGTTTACCAGAGCGCACATCTCTAGTTCGAATAACGTCTATCCGATAAATCAGCGTTTTTTCACTTATGACAACCTTTGAATAATATGATGTTCGCAATCAGCGCATATGCAATCTCGAACTATTAGGATTGATTTTCGGATGTGCCCTGTCGCTTTGGCACCGTTCACCGTGGGAAATTCGGGTATGCTTTGTGGGGTAATTTTGCAAAGAATCCTAAGCCTACTATGGCTCTCTGACACGTTCGATTAAAAACCCTAATCTTTGGTTGCATATTCAGTAGATGGATGTGAGCATTTGTTTGGCTGCTGAAACTGCAACCCACTTTTTCCCCAACAAGTAGCGGCCTGTCTAACTCCATACATTCAAGGTCATTCAACGCACCTGATCGTTATTATTGATGCGTATGTCTAACTTTAATTCTATGCCTCAGTCGACTAGCAGACAGGCAGTAACAGGGGAACAACAATAAAAAGAGTAACGTAGGCATGAGGAGGCGCTCGCTTTCCTACTTGTCACCAGACAAACTGTTTGTGTGTATCTGTTTGTCGTTGTCACTGCTAGTTATTTACAAGGGCATTTCTCACGTCCCTCACTGTTCTTCTTTAATTCGTAGATAGTCATAAATTTTTCACCCGGTAAACGGGTTTTCTCGGACTTTAGCTTTTGTTCTACATTTTATTATTTTACGCACATATACATGGTTAAATATCTCATGAGTTTAGTGCTCCATGATTCGTTGACGGCTAATAAGTAAACATTGGTGCAAAAAACTATCTGTATATTCTCCCTTCATCGCTTTCATTGTGAGGACTAACGCCCTGAACGAATTCTGAAATGAATGAGTATCTTTCTTGTATCAACTTTGAGAAATATTCGTCATTCCTAAAGCAGGTGGTTCAATACGAATCAAAATAGCTTACTTAGATCAGAAGGGATAATTTTCTATATGGTCCGTTCAACATCAACGGTTTATGCCGCGTGTTACGTTCAATGTGAATAAAATCAGAATTTCACTAGTACACCTTTGCGTAAGCTAATCAGAACAATTGATGAATGCTCACGTCGGGGTTAGTGTCTTAGATTGTGGCTTGTGACGTTTTCTGTGCACCTCGTGAAAAATGCTATAAGATCAACCGTCTCGAACGNCGAACGGCCTCTGCTGAGGAAACCCTACTCATTGCCTTTCCGTTTTGACGTTTATCCACCAAAGTGAGAGGCAGAAAATCCATGATCCAGGACTATAACTGAGTTTGGAAACCATAAGTAGTTCATCTCGAGGAGTTGGGTATAAACCCAGATTCCAAACGAACTAAGAAGAGACGTAAGAACCACACCTACTCCACACCTTT